CTAGCGTGTTGGCAAGCATGTGAACCTCAGGATAAAATCATCGTGTCATCCTTGTCTTCGCGTTGGTTTGTATCCTCGTCACATAAGCTTGAATTTACTTTTCATACATTGTGCTTGTGTAGTTGTTTTTGTAATTAGTTGACTTATGTAGTTTGCTAGTTACCTTCTAGCTTGTGTAGCATAGAAGTAGCTTCCTTGCATGACTAATTTGGATTTGAGTAATCTTATTAGTCACATTGTTTAGTTTATATAGCTAAGTAATTTACACTCTCTAATTTGACATTAGTTGTCTTGTTATTGAGCTTTGCTAGTGAGCTTATGAGCTTTGTGTGCTTTGCATCACTAGAATTGTGTAGGAGCTCATCCGTTGCTTAAAGTACTAGTTGCATAGGTTTGTGTGACCTTGCAAGCTAGAATTGTTAGGTGAGATCTAACTAGCCCAGCACCTTTGTTGTCTAATTAGGATCTTTGTAAGGTACTTAAGTACTTAGATAGAGGGGTATAGTCTTAGCTAGACTAAAAGTTTTAATTCCACATTTGTTTTAGTTAGCCGACACAATTAGTTTTAAAAAGAACTGTTCACCCCCCTCTAGTCCACCATCTGACCCTACAACCAACCAAACCCAATTTACAACACTATAACAGATCAATCAGCTGATGCAGCATTGATAGTAGAACGATAAACTGCAAGTCTAGCGATCTATAAATCTACTTGTGTCATGACAGAATCGTGGACGCGTGCCATACATGTGAAAGCTCAAGCTATCGACTAATATAGTCGATAGATACATAGTGGGTGGATGATGCCATATCCCTTAACGAGTAGATCCATTATCCATCGAAACCTGATCTAGTGCGCTACCAATAGGTTGATAACAAAGACAACAAACCGGAAATCGATGGCTAGTGAACCTATTCCTTAATGGAACATGATTCCAAACACTCGCTATGATCGATCTAGATAGAGGTAAAACGGTCAAGTAAAGCAGGATCTAACGTCAAAAGGTAGATTTTAGCATTAAAACAGATAACCGACAATAGATCCAAAGGTAAGGATCGGGAAAACCTTTAATCTAGATTGAGCAATTAGTGATATTATGCCAAATAGTGAACTATCTAACACAATATCGATAACTAACCTATACCACGGCTCGTAAAAAATCAATCTGCTGATGCAGTCTTACGAACAATGATATAGATCAAAATCTTATACTACGACTTGCAAGAGATCAATCAGCTGATACAGCCTTACAAGTAATAATATAAGGGGTGACGGATACTCACAAACAAGCCAGATGTCAATCAGCTGATGCAACCCTGCTTGCACAAAAAACTCATCGAAATCTACTCTACTCCTACTCCTAAGGATGGGCAAGGCCGGTAAAAAGTAAAGGTATTGTTTTGATTGATGTGACGATGTTCATTACAATAGCCGGGGTTCAATATTTATATCCGAGGCTTGGCTACGAGTCCTGGTCGAATAAGACCGATCACGAATCTTGAAAAAGAAAATGAAACTTTCTAAAATATGATAACTTGGACCTTAATCTTTTTCTTCTATAAAGTCCGACGTGTCCTCTTGCTCCATGCCTTATCATCTTTGCTAATGTGGCCCATTCCTTTGAAATGATGACGTCATCTTATTTGATCATCGGCAACTTGGTTAGCCGATTTTGCTGAATATTTTGGCTTTTCCTTGATAAATATCGACCTTGGGGTCCTCTTTTTCGAACCAAATTTTGGTATCAACAGTGCCCACATGCCCAACTTGTTTTGATGTATGATATTAAGGAGGAGAGGCATTAAATATGCCCACCTTCTTTCGACCTAGCATGTTTCAAATTTACTGTGTGAATTTCTGCATGTAAATACCTTCTGTCCACTTGCTTACTGATAGTAAATTCTTGTATGTAAAGAGAATAAGGTATTACATGTGTTGTTAATACTATGGCTCTATATGTGGCGTCCAGTCTCCAAATTTAATAGTATTGAATTTCTGCATGTAAATTTGTGCATGTAAATACCTGTTGTCCATTTATCTATCCACATGTGTTGTTAATACTATGGTCCTGGACGTGGCGATCTATTTTCAAATTTACTGAGTGAATTTCTACATGTAAATACCTTTTGTTCATGACAGAATAGTCATTTTGGTCCCTGAAATATTACTCGAGGCTCGGTTTCATCCCTAAACTTTTAAAACGGTCGTTTTAGTCCTCAAACTCTACTATTAGGCTCAATTTCATCCTAGAACTTTGAAGATGATCATTTCAGTCCTCAAACTTTGTATTTTGGGCTCAATTTCATCCTAGAACTATAAAGATGACCATTTTAATCTTCAAACTTTGCGTTTTCAGTCTTTAAACTTTTATTTTCAAACTCAACTTTGTCTATCGTTCTATGTGGAACACTATGCTGTTGCACCTAGTTAGCTTCAACACCACCAGCAATTGGAGATAAAAAAATAATATTCCTCCAAAAACACTTTTAGTGGCCATTTGTAAGTGCATTTAGCCCTTTAGTTGGTTTTGGAATATGAATACAAATGTTGAAAGTGTGCCATCCGATTTGGTAGTTGGGACGACGGTAGGGACAATAGTACCTAACGATGACTGTCCATCTCAAATCGCGAGTGGTGCCGGACAAAGGATAAAGCTGTGACAAAATGCATTTTGATAATTCATAGATGAAATTGTGCCTAAAATATAAAAGTTTTCTTTTTAGATAGACAAAATTGAGTTGAAAAATAAAAGTTTAAAGACCAAAATGCACTTTGGTAGTTCATGGATGAAATTGAGCCCAAAATGCACAGTTTGAGGACTGAAACGATCAACTTTATAGTTCTAGAATGAAATTGAGTCTAAAAATAAAGTTTAAAGACTAAAATGACTATTTTGAAAGTTTATGGATGAAACTGAGCCTCGAGTAATAATTCGGGGACTAAAACGCTATTTTGTCTTTGTTCATTTATCTATGCAGTTACTGATAATAAATTCTTGTATGTAAAGAGAAAAAGGCATTGCATGTTCTGAACTTGGCGTCCTATTTTTAAATTTACTGTGTATGTAAATATCCGTTGTTTATTTATCTGTCCACTTGCTCCATTCAATGCCAGTGGCTGGTGGATGGTAGGGATAGAAATTAGTGACATGACTAATTACACGCTAGTAGATGGCTTCAGTACATGCTGCTCATTTATTCACCTGCTGTATTTAATGCGCATGCTTTGAGTTGGTTCTGCGTGGAAGGACACAAGGCTGTGCAATTTCCATTAACTTACCACTCAAATGAAGCTGACATGCTGGGAGGCCGCTGAGGCGGCGCGGGCTCGTATCTCTAAGGCCAGTCTCAGTAAGAGCAGGTATAATAAGGTATTTGAGTCGGCCAGAAGCTCCACGTCAACAGTAAGAATGCCATGTTAGGAGAGAGGGTGCCGAGCCGATGCTTAGCTGTCACTGTACTCGGCTGCAACTGCAAAACATTAATTGCTCGTAGATTTGATACAGCCCGTCTTTCATTCAACCTATTATATGAATAGACGGTATCACTTCGGCGAGATTTGCTTTAGTTGGGTGAGATTTGGACGTTAGAGAGAGAGGGTGCCGAGCCAGTTTTATTTAGCAAATAGTGTTTAAATCACTAATTACGAGACAAAACGCTACGTCTTGCAATTTCCCACCTGGTTGTGGAATTAGTTTTTATTTCGGCTGCACATTTAAAACATTACTTGCTAAAGATTTGATACAAGATCCGTCTTCTTTTCTAACCCATTAGGTCCAACTAAACACGGCATTACTTTGTATGACATGGCACGTGCATTTAGCCAGCAGCAGACGAAATCACTTGCCTTGCTCTAAACATGTCATGGAAGTTTCATGAAAGTTAAATGAGGTGACATGACAGCAAAAAGCCACTGTTTTGCATGTATAGAGAGTACTGAAGTTTTATGGCCACGAAACGAGCTCCACGCGTTTTAAAACGGATGAAACCTGCACTGAGCGGCTTCCTTTCGTTTCATCTGATCCGTGCGGCCAGCGGCAACTCTCGCGTTTCTTCCCTTGCGACGGCGGCCCCTTCTGCGGCGGTGGCCCCTTCTACGGCCCCTGCGACGGCGGCCGAACGCAGCCTAGGCCTGGCGTCCGCGGCCTCCGTGCCCATGCGTGGCGGCCAGCCCTCGGCCTGGCGGCTCCGTGGCGAGGCCACGGCTAGCAGCAGGAGGCCGGGCGTTATGCGGACGCGGATGCGGATGCAGATGCGGTTTGTACGCGCTGGCGCTCGTCGCCGTCTCCCGCACTCGCATTCAGGGCCCGGCCTGTTCGGCGACTGGCGGGCACAGGTGGAGGACCGCGGCAAGGAGCTGCTCGCGCCGGCCGCGTGCTGCAAGGCATCGTTCGGGGCGTGTTCAATGGAGTACTTCAGTGTGTGCGGGCGTTCGATTGACTGCTGAATGCATGTTGCTGTTTGGTTGAATCTAGATGCATGGTGCTCGGCAATCCGGCATGCAGACATGCAGTTGTAACACTTGAATACGGAAGCTTATAATTTCGATGATAAGCTGTGAATCTCTTGGCATACTCGATCGATATATGATGTGGTTGGCTGTATCCTTTCTGCAAGAGGTTACACAGTTTGCTACCACAATTGATCGCAACACAATATGCTAATTAAATGTTATAGTTATCCTATAAAACCGTTAAACGAAACTGTATACTGAAAGACACTGTTTTATTTGAAGTGTCATGTCTTGAAAACTGGGACCGACACTGGCGTAATGGTATCTGACTGTTCGGCCCGTTCGGCCGCTGCTTCACTTTGATCAACATGCGCCGTTCGGCCGCTGCTTCCATCCGCACCGCGGGACCCCACTGTCAGTTGTCACGCATACACGCAATCACGCTCACCGGCCGCGCACACAACAAGTGACAAGTCCGCCTGACCGCCTCCCACCAGAAACCTGCGAATCAATCCCGAATCCCGATCGGCCGGCGGCGCGGGAGGCGATGCCGGAGAAGGCGGTGGACGACGTCATGGAGGCCGCGGTGGGGGCCCACTTCAGCGGCCTCCGCCTCGAGGCGCTGCGCCTCTCCACCTCCGCCCCCTCTTCCCCTTCCTCCTCCCCCGCCGCCGCGGCGCACGCGCACTCCAACGGCGCCGTCTACGCCAACGGCACCGCCGAGCTCCCCTCCCCTGCCGCTGCCCGGCAGCCTTTCGTCATCGGTAGGTCGTCATGCGACCCCTCCCTGCTAGCGCTCGCCGCTCGAGCGGGTGGAATGGCCGGCTCGGTGTTGGTCCCGCCCTTTCTCGGCTTCTCGTGCTGGCTGGCCGATCCTCATTTGGTGGCCCTGATTCAGAATTTCTGCTTGATTTTCTCAAAGGGGTTTCTGGAGGGACCGCGTCGGGGAAGACGACGGTGTGCGACATGATTATCCAGCAGCTGCACGACCACCGCGTCGTGCTCGTTAGCCAGGTGTGTGTGCTCACTGCTGCTTCTGTGGCTGCGGCTGGATTGTTTTGGTTTGAGAACGTCCTGCTGCTGCTACTGCCTCCTGTCAAGCCTGGTTATGTGTAGTGTATTCAAGTTATGCAGTTCGAACTGGAAGATCGGAGATGTAACCTAGTGATTTCATAGATGGGGGATAGCTGAAGATTCTTGTGTATCTGTATGGAAATGCTAGTGAGGTTGTGCACACCCTTCCATTTGACTAGCTTGTGGGCTGCGATTGTTAGAATTGACAAATATGGATTAGGTTTGACAAGTCATGCAAACCAATCTGATGATGGTAACTTCTGAAAAACCTGTTGAAACTTGAAACTCATTTTGAGCTTATCATTTTGCAGGATTCATTCTACCGTGGCCTAACTGCTGAAGAGTCTGCACATGCACAAGACTACAATTTTGATCACCCTGGTACTGCATTTACTGTTTTGGGTATCCTGCCTGTGTCAGCGATCAGAGCTGAATTGATTTGTTGACATGTGAGATGGACTGTATTCTTTGCTTGCAGATGCATTTGATACAGAACAACTTCTGGAATGCATGGGACAACTGAAACGTGCTCAGCCTGTAAATGTTCCTATATATGATTTCAAGAAGCATCGTCGGTGTTCTGACAGCTTTAGGAAGGTAGCAGTCACTCACAAACTTGTCAGCATGAAAAAGTTGCTAATCCTTTGTGATTTCGAGTTCATGTCATTGACCTTTGAATGATTTTGTAGAACATTTCTTTCCTTCTTTTGTATGTCTGTAATTAGATGACTGTTTCATACCATGAATTATAAACCTAACTCCAACCAAACTGCCTTTGCGTGTTTTTTAGAGCATTTGCAACTTTATTTTTGATCCTCCTTATCTGCGCCAGAGGGGCAATCTACAGTAAGGCAAAGAAATTGGAGGTTTGGTTTTTTGTTATTACCATATTCTGTTTTTTTTTCTTATAGCTATAAATATTGGTGCAGAGCGACACAATTTTTCTAAAAGTAGCATTGTAAAATTACATGAGGTAAAAAACAGGGTTGAATTAGCTGGCATATATAATAAAATCATGATGATACTATATATCTCATCAGTTGTCATATTTCAATGTTCTGTGTTTTTGTTTATTTCAGTAATTCAATACCAATATACCTAAAAAATTGGATTCTTATTTGTCATGTTTAAAATTAGGAAGTTCATGTGATTGTAAGCTGATAATAAACTTCACAACCCTTTTACTATCTAAGCACCTGGTCCAATTTCATTTTGCCAGGTCAATGCATCAGATGTCATTATTTTGGAGGGCATTTTAGTCTTCCATGATCAGAGAGTTCGCAATCTGATGGACATGAAAATTTTTGTAGACACAGGTTTATCCTCATTCTCAGTGTAGCATTTGTTTTGTTATAGAAATTGTGAATTGCTCCTTAATTTATTTAGCTGAAATGGTGTTCTTGTCGTGATGCATAAATCAGATGCTGATAGTAGGCTTGCGCGACGAATCAGGCGTGATACGGTTGAAAGAGGAAGAGATATTAGCTCAGTGCTTGACCAGGTAGTCCTTCTATTATTATTTTTTACCTTGGGTTTATAACCCTGCGGTATATGTATGCCCTTTACATCTTCCCCTTTTTTGTATACAATTTTTGCAACTTGAAATGCTGTTGGCATGTGTAGTATGGGAGGTTTGTGAAGCCAGCATTCGATGATTTTGTTTTGCCTTCAAAGAAGTATGCTGACGTGATCATTCCTCGAGGAGGTGATAACCATGTAGCAGTTGATCTGATTGTTCAACATATCCGTACCAAACTTGGTCAGCATGACTTGTGCAAAATCTATCCGAATGTTCATGTTGTTCAATCAACTTTTCAGGTAAAGCTAGAAATCTTTACCAATGGTTTAAAATTTATACTGTTATTTTGCTAATTTCATAATTCCTTGCCTTTTGTAATGAATTTAACAGATCCGAGGAATGCATACTCTTATTCGTGATAGGGAAATTACTACACCTGACTTTGTCTTTTATTCAGATCGATTGATCCGTTTGGTACTACTTTATTTCATAACCTTTATTTCCCTTCTTCAACTTCATGGCCAGTTATTGCATTTAGTTGATGTATGGATTTTCTGTGTAAGGTAGTGGAGCATGGTCTTGGACATTTGCCATTTACAGAAAAGCAGGTCATTACTCCAACAGGTATTTTGCATGTGGCACCTTATATCTCGTAGCCGCTTAGTTGTGCACCTTATGAGTATTTTACTTTTTTCTTTCTATTTTGTTCCATCCTGAATATTTGACTTTCAGGTTTAGGCTCAGAGGAATATCTTTTGTAACTGTCTAGAATAAGTTAATACTTTATGCCATCTTGGTTCCTGAGATAGTCTACTATTAGTTCTGAGAAACTTAGCCACCTCAACAGTAATGGATTACCTTATCGTTGAAATATGATAACTTGTGCCACATTGTTATGTATCTATCTGTGTTTGCTGATAACATTAGTACCACTTTGAAATGGCAATTTGTGGCTGGCTGTAAAAAAAATATTTGGATAGGATTTGCTTTTGTTGTGTTTGAAATATCTTTGGAAAACCAAACTAAAAAGGCATAAAAAGCTTGTTGATGATCCTTCTCATTTCAGACAATTTGTGTTTTTTTTTGTCATTGTTTGCCTAGTGTGTAGAGCGCATGAGGATCTTTTAGAGAGAGGACATTTAAAACTACTGAGAGAAAGACACGGGATGAGTGCATTAAGGATGAAAGGGAGCATCTCTTGGTAAAGGAGGATGAGATGAACATCATGGCAAGAGTATTTTGACAAATTGTTCAATGGTGAGAATATGGACACAACATTTGGGTTGGATGACTCTTTTGATTCTTTGTCTGGAGAATCCAAGAATCTCGAGAGGCGTTGAAAAGGATGAAAGGAGGTAAGGCGATGGGACCGGATGGTATCCCAATCGAGGTGTGGAGATGTAGTATGGTTGACCAAGTTGTTCAACCATATTTTCGATCAAACAAGATGCCCGATGAGGAGAGAGAAGTATATTGGTACCGATCTACAAGAATAAAGGGATATTCAAAGTTGTACAAATTATCGGGAATTAAGTTGATGAGCCATACTATAAAGCTATGGGAGAGAGTTATCGAGCATCGCTTGAGAGCAATAACGCTGGTCTCTATGAACCAATTTGGTTTCATGCGGGAAGGTCAACCATGGAAGCCATTTTCTTAATAAGACAAGTTATGGAGCGGTATAGGGAGAAGAAGGACCTACACATGGTTTTTATTGACTTGGAGAAGGCTTATGATAAAATACCAAGGAATGTTATGTGGTGAGCTTTTGACAAACATAAAGTCCCTGTAAGGACATGTACAACAATGTTGTGACTAGAGTTGAACAAGTGATGGAGACACGGATGAATTAGGATAGGACTACATCAAGGGTCACTTTAACACATTTGTTTGCTTTAGTGATGGAAGTAAAACATTTCATGGACGATGTAGTGCTAGTTGATGAAAGCCGGACAGAGGATCTCGGAGTTAATGAGTCCAAAGGTTTTAGACAGTAGAACTAAAAGCGAGTATATGAGATGGACCATGACTCATGATAGATGTTAAACAAGAATGTACATGAGGATTTAGGATTATGTAGGGAGAATTTTGCATTATATGTTAGCCATAGAATCAAAGCGGGTGGATGAAGTGGCGCAAGCGTCTGGTGTCCTATGTGGGGTGTAGAAGCTTCTGTGAGAATGTTGGCCTCTACGAAAAGACGACATTTTGTATTTGCCATGCTCTTTTTAAGCATCAATGGCAGATATACGTGAGAGATTAGGCTAGCGCCAATTGAAGAAAAGCTTGTGCCTTTTCATTTAGCATATTTGCCATGCTCTTGCAACATAGTTTTGTAAATAAACCAGACTAATTATGTGGAACATTTCCTCCTGCTTTATCTGGATACTCTTCGTTTATGAGTATTTCGTTCCTTTTATGATTCATACTTCACCATCATGAATCATTATGACCACTTGGTACCCAATATGTTCATGTTTAACTTCTGTGCAAGCAACATGTTCGAAATTTCACGTTATCATCCTTCGCATGCATCATGTCCCTAACCCCCCCCCAACCCCCCCACCCCAATGCACTGTTGCAGTAAATTTTGTACATTTTTAATATATTAATAGAGTTATGGAGTAATTTTAGCTTTATTTATACCTCATTTAATTGCAGTGGTGAGAGTATGGAGAACGCATTGCGTGCTTGTTGTAAAGGAATAAAAATTGGTAAAATTTTAATTCATCGTGTTGGAGACAATGGACAGCAGGTAAGCATTCAGATATTATGATAAACGATTCCTTAACAGGTACTCCCTCCATTCTCAAAATGTAAGGTGTTTCAGGTTTGTCCTAACTTCTAAGTCAAATTTCTCTAACTTTGACCAAGTTTGTAGAAAATATATTCACATCTAACCAATTAAATACACTATCAAGACATTTCATGGTGGATTTAATGAAATTAATTTGATGTTGTATAGGTTGGTGCATTTTTCTATAAACCTGGTCAGTTTTAGATAAGTTTGACTTAGGAAAAACTAAAACATCTTACGTTTTGGAACGGAGGGAGTATGTTTCAAGTGATTGAACTAATCGCCATGGATAATTATAATAAACTTTCTGCATCTAGCTTGTTTATCACAAACTGCCAATGGATATTGCTGAACGACATGTTCTACTTCTGGATCCAGTGCTTGGTACAGGTCAGTTTTGCCTACTATTCTGTTTCTGCTGCTTGTTTGTTTGAACTGAAGTTGATTTAGGTTGTGACGACAAAAACAGATTCAGGTTGTGATAACAAAATAACATGCTGTAGAAACTATCCACATATGTCCAGAAATTATTTGGTCTACGAGATTTCCTGATACAATATCACTCAATGATAATCCATATTGCATTCACAGATTGTGCAATCAATGAAGAATCTTGTTTATTGGCATATCTGTTTGGAAGTGCCCTGAATCTTGTAAAATCTGATGCATTGCTGAATTAACTGGTCATTCTTTATGCCCTCAATAAATATGAAAGTTTGGTGTTACATCCTTCTCTTGAGTTTGAAGCAGATACTTCTTGTGCTTCATAGTTAGTTTGTACAGTATTTATCAGGCTATGAACAGGTAGCACAGGTCGATCTCACTATGCTCATGATGATGACTTTATTTTATAGGCAACTCAGTGGCCCAAGCAATTGACCTTCTTATAAGAAAAGGTGTTCCTGAGGGTCGGATCATTTTCCTCAATCTCATCTCGGTATATTTTTTTGCATATTTAATGGTTCCAATGCTTATTATCTGTTTTGTTTAGTTGCATAACACCTTCTACACACCCTTTTTTTTGTGTGTGTGTGGGAGCAGGCTCCTGAAGGGATTCAGTGTATTTGCAAGCGATTTCCTTCGCTGAAGATTGTAACGTCTGAAATCGATTATGGTCTGAACGAGGAATTCAGGGTGATACCAGGACTGGGAGAATATGGTGACCGCTACTTCGGCACAGACAATTGATGGCTCATACCACTCTTGGTGTGTGAAGTCTCACTTGATCCCTGGATAGGGATGATGTCTTGGAAGTAACATTCACTATGGAGGCCGTAGTTGTGTTTAATAGTTGTACAACCTTTGACATAAAAAGCTTGACCAAGGGCAGAGGGGGATGCCAGAGAAGGATCTCTGTGAACTCGGAGAACGTGTTGTACGATTTTAGCCTTGTACGGATGCAGAAATATTGTTCATCACCTGATGTTTTCAAATAAGCGTCTTTGATCAATATTTCTCGGTGAAGTCACGAGATCAAAATTTACAAAGCGCCTAATTTGGATTAAGAGGGGGCGAATGAGGTATGGAACTGGAACTCCGACGTGGTGGTCGAGTTGCTTAATAGGGACTGTTTGGTAGAGCTTCATCTGATTCTAATTCTCTAAGAAAGCTGATTCTCTGGTTGAAAGTGATTCTCTTTAATTCTTTAGCATAAATTCTTGAAATCACGATGGAGAATCACTTCACATTTTTCAGCTCTCAGCCTCCTAGTTCATTTCAGAGAATCACTTCACGGAATCAACAGAGAATCATTTCTCTCTGGAAAAACTGTTTGGCAGAGCTTTTGCTGGGTCAACAGAGAATCGCTCCGGGAGTTCTGCCAAAAGGGGCCATGTGTGCTGTCCGCTGATTCAAAGCATTGAACGACCAACATCAGACGCTGACAAGAAAATAATAAATTATTGCTATTGTCAAAGGAAAAAATGTGTCTGAAACCGTAGAACAGAGATGCAAACCGCTTAAGCTGCAAAGGATAATTACCGCATTTCAAATGTTGACACGGACGGCAAATTGTGACTATACTTGCATGACAAACATTGATTAACGAAGTAGACATGTCCCAGTAATATGATTTCAGCTAGGTCGGGCGGGCCATGGCGTACTCCCCAGCCCAGTCTCTGGCGGCGCTCTCGACCTTCTTCTGCCTGTCCCGTCTGATACGTCTTGGGCGTGATTGGTTTCATTCCCGGTCGAGCCAGGCTCGTACATTGGAACCAGGTTCTAGCCAGCCTGGCTAAGCTCATGCAGAAGAGTTTTGTTTGAATGGCTTGCACACATCTATCCTGGCTAGACTCGGCTGGTGTCTGGTCAGCTGCATGCACGTCAAATACGAACCTGAGATGAACGCGTTCAGCAGTTTGCATCTGGCGGGACAGGCCCAAAGCCAGGATCAGGACACCAAACAGCCGAAATCTGCACGAGGGCATGCATGGCTGCTGGCATGCGGCGTACCAAACACGCCCCAAATGGGCCGTGCATGATTCCGTTGACGGATAGACCATTGTTCTCAGCACGGACGTTTGGATGGAGTACCACCTGCACATTGTGTTTCGATTTTATCAAATCCTCTTTGGACTCATGACCCACCAGCATATGGGCAGTCAGATGGGCCTCTTATAGTATGGCTGCCCTCCAATGGTACAGGCCGGTCCTCCGTGGACCGTGGTTGGGGCTGTCTCAGCCTGTCTGTCGAAGTCTCGAAGAGATTATGCAATCACCAGCTAGAGGTGTCACTCACTTGAGGGGACTTGCAGTATACAGGTGACCCATGACCATGCATGCCGCTGAGGGGGGGCTCCATGGACATGGCAGCAGTAGGGGGGCATGAGCCCCACCCGCCCCACTGTTGGATCCGTCCCTGTGCATGCCCAAAACTGGGGAATGGAGCCAGGATTCCAGGAGCAAGTATGCGCATAAGCTAGAAGCAGAAAGGAACTGAAGCGTGCACAACCCATAGACGCTTGTCCTTTTGCTAAACAGCAATAAACTATAGGACGCATGATGAATTTAGGATAGGATACAAGTATTGCAGTCCATTTCAATTCCGCGTAGAGACTTATTTGGATGTACTCGTATTTAGCTATGAAAGTGAATCTGAAAGATATCAGTCATCGAAGCTCATTTATGAGATTTTATCGTGTTTTTGACTAAAACAAAAAAATGGTAGTGGTAACAATATTGGCCCCGTTCGTTGGTCTGAAACTTTATTGAAACTGACTGAAAAATACTGTTCTGACTGAAATATTATAAGAGAAAAATATTTATCCGGCTGAAAAAAGAAACCGAACAAGCCAAATATCATACCAGCCGAACGAGGCCATTACGGTAGAATGGCATACATAGCAGGCTAAAGATCAACAACTCACTGATGCCAGTGATGGATTGTGTCGGGTTCATAAACCCGGGGTCCCTCATGGACCGGCTTTCCAGCAAAGGCTCGGCCCAGCAGACAACGTCGAGAACAAACGCGTAACTCCTGGGCCGGCCCAAAACTACCTAAACGACGAGCCAGAAGAACGATCCGCCTCTCCGACCGGAAGGCCTGGCCAAGGAGGAACATCGCTCGCTTCCGACTCTGGCCCGTCTCTCTGACTGGAAGGCCTCGCTTCCGACTACGGCCCGTCTCACCGATCGGAAGGCCTCGCCAAACGCCGCTTCCGACTCCGACCCGCGTCTCCGACCGGGGATGCATCGAACCTCTGCTTGCAGCTCTTCTCTGACTGGCGCAGTCGGAGCCGACTGGGACCAACCGATCGGGGACGTCCGCTCGGGGAGGACCAGGAAACGGACAGAGCAAGTAAAGCAGGATGCTCAAGTCAGCAGCAATACCGAGGACCGTACCCTGTACACCTGTAGGACAGTACCCACAGGGCATGGCAGAAGGGCACCCTGCAAACCTTCTAGGCATGTTAGAACCCCAACAGTGTTGAGGGCGCCGATATTTACCTTATAGTGTTGCGGGCGCCATCAATTCCCATACCAGGGAAACGCAATAAGGCCTCCCACATGCATCTGGGCATCCATAGTGTTGTGGGCGCTGGCATTTACCGTACCTGGTGACCACGGTGAAAACCTCCCACATGCGTCTGACATCAACAGTATTGTGAGCGCCTACAATCATCTTGTACCCGACGGCTTGGGCAACAAGACTTAGTAGCATATGTACTCTCTCACTTGTAAGGCCGTCCCCTTCATCTATAAAAGTGGATGCGCTCTATCCCAACAAACGATGATCGATCAGTTCACTCACACACAACAACAGAACCACTAGGTTCAAACCTCGAGCACACGTTCAAACACTTAGCGCACGACGGAGCACCCGTCACTCTCGGCCCTTCAGACCAGAGTTCGACCGGACCTCTTGCACCCCCATCTTTCTCCCTTCCGTTTGTAACCCCACAGCAAACTTCGAGCACCTAGACTCATGAATAAAGTCATCGACCGACTCAAATTGGACGTAGGGCACGTTGCCTGAACCAGTATAAACCCTGTGTCATTGAGTGCTAGGCCACATCCGATCACAACGTACAGCAAAACTATAAATATTTACGTATTGGTCACTTTCTGCACCGACAGTAGGCGTCGTCCATGGGGAAGACGTTGTACGTTCATACTTTTGGTCATCGGATGGCCCACTTTTCTGTCATCTTCGCCATGGCGGGCTCAAGCAATACGACTCGCTTCGGCTCATTAGAGTTCCCCTCACTCCCACCTATTGGGATGTGGGGGCCTCCCGTCTTCGAGCCATCCCAGGCCTTCCTCTTTGGAAGCCTAGACTTCGTCGCCGACCGGCTCGGCGTACTACACCTCCGCGATGAGGCACTTGTTCCTGCGCCCATCGGAGGGGCGTCCTCCATCGGCTCCGAGACACCCGACGACTTCAACGACGAGGCGCCTGCGCTCCATTCCGAGCAAACACTCTGCTCAAACCCCGCTGTGAGTAATGTACATGCTGTTATTTACTCGTTGTTTACTATCTTCCGCCAATTATTCGGAGGGACCCCTTCGTCCGCACCGCAACCGCCATACGACCGGTTCCCCTACGGCCTCACATCTCTCGTGGACGCGTACGCTCGGGGGCTCCGAAGGACGCTGGCGCCGCCCCCTCTCGCATCCGAACGTGGGAATGGAGAGCTATGCTCCCACCACTTTTCACGAACTCCTGGATGACGAGGTTGAGAGCGATGGCTCCAGCATCAGCGACGTGGCACCTAGCCACCGTCCGTCCTGGGACAGCCGCCGGTGGTAGCAGAGTCCTTGCAGACTCACACCCCTCCGAACTCACGTGCGAGGGCCCTCGCGCTCGCACAAGAGCACGGCGAGGAGCTACGACAACGGCGGCAGAACCAGCCGTCACCTGCGCCGGCGTGCTCGGTGCAGCACGTTGCGCCCCATGCGCGTAACCCGATGAACGACACCTGGGGTCGCGCCCGCCAGGTCCAGCGCGACATCATGGACGAGGGGAAGGATCCCCCACAGTTCGCTCGGGCTAGCCAGAACATCGCCGATGCGATAATGCTTCTGCGCGGCGTTCCCGAGCCCGTCGACCCCTAGGAACGGGTGGTCCACCGGAACCTCCGGACGCTGGTGGAAGCCATCGCCGTTCAATAGGCGGAGAGCTCCGCATCGCGACTCCAGCTCACGGCCTCTCTCCCCACCAGGGGAGTGGGGACGCACCAGACGGATCGTTCCATCCGCTCACCGCTACAGCTGCCCAACGCGGCACAGGAGGCCACAGCTACGCCGCGGTCTGACCCAGCGCCTGCTCCTCACCGATCATCGGTACGCGAACGGCTCAGTCCGAACCAACATGCTCGCAACGTCATCAGCAACCGGTATTAGGACTGGTATGATGATGACGTCCATCGGGCGGCGGTGAGGGCGGTGACACGGGCCCCGGCCAGACCATCGAGGGGAGCAGTGAAACGTGCTCCAGGCATGGTCACCGGCCAAACAACCGAAGTTCCAGCCCGGATGTCCCGGGACCATGGGCCTTTGGCCGACACATCCAGAGAGCGCCGTTCCCACAACGCTTCTGACCACCCACCAACATCACCAAGTACACCAGGGAGACGAACCCCGATATATGGCTCAAAGATTTTCGGCTCGCCTACCGAGTCGGAGGGGTGGATGATGACCATTTCATCATTTAGTATATCTCCATCTGAGTGGGGGAACATGTTCGAGCA